TCTCTTAAAGCTACAAGAAGAGCCCATAATGGGAGAAGTTAGAGAAACCACATACAGGAGCCTGCAACAGCTCTGCCAGATAATTACAAAACTTTAGACAGATTCAGCAGGGAAAGATCCAACCAAAATACTTAAAAATTATTGAGTTTCAAGGTAGAACTCTAATTGTAAGTGAAGATGAAAGTATTGCCTGTGATCTGAAAGAACATACCCAAGAAACCCATGGAATTCAGACCAAAAAAGCCACAGACCTTTCAGAAGGAAAGAAAGCAGGACAAAAATAGACCAGGTGTAGGCCTCGGGTTACATGTTGGCCTAATGGGACTGTATCTGATAGGTTGGCATGTTCCCCTCATGGAAGTGAAGATGGAAAACTGTTCGAACAATGGGTGCTGGGAAAATCCAAAAATCTTTGACTGCTCAGCTCTCTGCATAAGAAACCCCTGAAGTCAAAATCTAGAGAAGTAGAATAGAAAAACAAACACACAATTGTAAAATTTCAAAGTTTTAATTTGCTCGATGGGAGAAAAATAGACTTTGAATTAGGCTTGGTGTCTGGGGCTGATGCTGTTGTAGATTTCTAAACTTGGCAAAAAAGCCAGGAACATTTCAACGTTCAGTCTCTAATGAAGGAAATGATTTTCATGTGTAAGTTCCACACCCACCCTCAATTTTGTTAAGTAGGGACATAAGTAACTTTTTATAGAAGATGTCTCCCAATTGAATTTAATTTCACAATCTGTAGATTACAGACAAGTGGCCTAGAGAGACTGATTGGCATTCTTAAAATTTCATGTTATTTATTTTATTTATTAAATGTTAGAGTTAAAGGAACACAGAGAAAACTCCTTTCCACTGGTTCAATCTTCCAAGTGACTACAACAGTCAGAACTGGACCAACCCAAAGTCAAGAGCCCAGAACTCAATCAGATTCTCCCACAGGAGTGGCAGAGACCCAATTACTTAAGTCATCACCTTCTGCTATTTCCAAGGACACACATTAGCAGGAAGCTGCAATCAGCCAGTGAAACCCAGGCAGTCTGATACAGGATGCAGGCATCCCAAGCAGCTTCTTAACGGCTCCACCAAATGCTAACCCCATGACTGGCATTTTGATAAAGGAAAAACTGAAAATTTCTCTGTTCACTCTTGTCCAGTCTCTACTATGATCTCCATGGCATTAAACATAAAGAGTTGTGGGGATATAGTTTGGCCAGGGATACCTGAACTAGAAGATAATTTGTTCATGTTCATCTAAAAGATGGTGATTTGTTCTAGAAGAAAGTAGTTGCTGATTGTTAGTGCCCTAGTAAGCCTTGATGCCTCTCCCCTTCCCTGTACTCCCCATTCTCCTGTTTCAAGCCACTTTTTCTTCTTCCCTTGGCTCCCCAAGCCTCCCCCACTGCAGCAGGCCCCCGTCCTCCCTTTCTACCTCTTTGCCAAATAGCCCTGTAGATCTGTGCTGTCCAGGATGGTAGCCACATGTGGCTACTGAGAACTTTTGAAATGCAACTCCTCTAAATTGAGATTTGTTAAGAATTAAAATGCATACTGGATTTTTGCATAAAAAAAGACTCAATAACTTGCATATTGAGTACATATGAAAATGATCATGTTTATAAATTTGGTTAAACATAATATAAAAAATTTCTCCTTTGTCTTACCTTTTAAGAATGTGCCTACTAGAAAATTTTTAATTTCATATTTTTATTTCTAATACATACTGACCTATTGGCCCATACCTAGGTATCTGACTCCACTGTTCCGTGCTCCTAGTCACTAAAGTACCCAGCCCAATCTAACTTTCCTTCTCTGTATAAGCTTAAGATTTCACTGCTTTCCATTGGAGGGTTTTTTGTTGTTTCTTGTTTGTTTTTAAAATATTTATTTGAAGGCAGAGTTAGAGAAAGATAGAGGGAGAGACAGAGAGAGAGAGAGAGAGAGAGATCACCCATCTACTGATTACTCCTCAGATGGCCACAATAGGGCTGGGCTAAGCCAAAACTAGGAGCCAGGAGCTTCTTCCAGGTCTCCCACATGGGGACAGGAGCCCAAGCAATTGGGCTGTCCTCCACTGCCTTCCCAGGCACATTAGCATGGAGATGGATCAGAAGTGGAACAGCCAGGACTCTCATTGGATTCCAGTATTACAGGCAGTGGCTTTACCCTCAACTCCACAATGCTGGCCCCTGGAGGATGAACCATCTCATAATTTTCATGGTTGACTATGCTTACTTTTGGCTCTCCCTGTGTCATTCTTGAATGCTTACCATGTATAAGATTGTACAGCCAGCCAAGGGGACGTTCCAAACAAGCCTAAGACAGCCCCTGCCATCTACAGCTAATGGTATTACCATTCTAACAGAAGAATTTAAAATTCTGATGTATAAAATGTCTTCAAAAAGTTCACAAAAAGAGTAGAATTTTAAAAAAAGAAAAACTGTGGCTGGCATGGGTGGGTGTTTGGCATAGTGTTTAGGCCTGATTTTAATTTCTGCCTACCATATCAGTGTCTGGGTTCAAGTTCTGATTTTTAACTGTCCATTCCAGTTTCCCATTAATGTACATCCTGGTGATGGCTCAAGTACTTGTGTTTTTGTCACCCCTGAGAGAGATCTTTGTTGAGTTCCTGGCTCCTGACTTTGGCCTGGTCCAGCTCTGGCTGTTGTAGGCATTTGGGGAGTGAACCAATTAATGTTTTTCTCTGTTTGACTCTGCTCTTTACAAATAAACACTATGCCTGGACTTTAATTTTCTTGCACCAAATAAACTTGAATTTTATTTCCATTTTCCCACAGACTCTTTGAAGTCCTCTCATATGTTCCCCTAAAAGTATGAATCAAGGTGCTGGAATTATGGTTGCATTGCCACCATCCACACTGCCAGCATCCCATATGTGCACTGGTTTGAGTACCCGATGCTCCACTTTCAATCCAGCTCCCTGCTAATGTGCCTGGGAAATAAGCAGAAGATGGCCCAAGGCCTAGGGCCCTGCATCCCTGTGGGAGACCCAGTTGAAGCTCCTGGCTCCTGACTTCAGCCTGGCCCAGCCCCAGCAGTTGTGACCATTTGGGGAATAAACCAGCAAATGGAAGATTTCACTCTCTTGCTCTCTCCCTCTCTCTAACTCTGCCTTTCAAATAAAATAAACACATCTTTAAAAAATGAATGAATCAAACAGGAACTCTGGACACCATGGCAGAATTGTGGGAATGACTTATATTACAGGATATAGAAAGATTTTCATGGACCCTATCCATTCATATCACATATGTCTACATACTTCCAACCCACTTCATTGTTCAACATTGGGAGGTTTCCTGCATAGTTGGATTTTGTTATTGTTGTTATTTTTGGTCTCTGAGAAGCATTACAGAGCACCCATTTCTCTGGTATGGACAGCATTGTAAAGAAAGGAAAGTGACTTGAGCTAAGTTAGAGGAGTAAAATCTCACCAATTAAACAGAGGCCCCACTCAGGGCCGAAATGTATTCTGAGAAAATGATTATTCCCTTTCCTGTTTTAATTAAGGAAGGTAATCATATCAGTTCAAGAAGCCAAAGACAATTTCATTCATAGATTGTATACTTTGATCACATGGATTTTAGCACATATAAAAAATAGATTTAGTTTCACTTCTCTTTCCTTTGAATTTGATTATTTTAAAAGAGGAATGTTTTCTGTGAAGCATTTACTATTCGCAGTCCAAACATTATCTGCTCACTTGCTGTCTTCAAGGCTGCCTTTTGGATATAAATGTCCCTCATACATCACAGTTTAGGGCTTACAATGTCTATGTTTATCCCAAAATGTTTATTTCCTTTCTGCTTCAGCAGACACCATAGTCAATTTCTTTTCCAACCCTTTTTATCTCAATGAAAACAAGCTTTATCATTTGAAAGTATATCTTGTGCCATAAACACAGGTCAATATTAAGAGAAGAGCAGATTCACATAGATCAGAATCAGACAAAAATATGCAGGAGTGGAGAGAGATGAGATCATAATGACCACGGTAATTAATTTTCTTCCCTACTCAACCATGCCTTCCAACTAGGTATTCTCCTTTCTTCCTGATCCAGTAAAGCCTCCTCTAAGATGCTTTCTCTGACCCCTCCACACACAACCATCCTACACCCAAACCCCAAAGACTGAAGTGCTCCATTGTCTATGACCCCTCCTGCTCTTCTTTGTACAGTCACCCTCACTCCTAACAGTGCCATCAATATGATTCTGGAAGTCAGCCCTCCTGCCTGATTGAAGGTAGGAGGTAGGGAACTGAATCTTATTCAATATAGTGTTGACAGGTCCTAGCATAGCTCCTGGACTAGCAAATACTCAGCCAACACTTTTTGAACAAATGAGTTCTGCATTTAGTCAACAGTTTGTTAAGCACTTAGGGCTATGACACCTACTAAAGCCAATTCAAGAGGGAGATTCTATAGAATCTCTACTTTCATGGAGTCCTGGACCTACAAAAGGTACACACACCCAGCATAAGCATCATGACAGAGAAAGATGTGATTAAAGTCTATAGTGAAAGGGAAAGTGCCAAGGAGTCAAATAGGGAATCTACAGTGTGCTGGGGTAGCAGCCAAAGCATAACATGAGATTCACTCACTTATTCATTCATTCAATAAATATCTACTGAAAGTCACGTACAGATCTAGAAAAGTGTACACTCTAGTGAAGTGGGTGAGGGGTAGGGTGGAGTAGACCAACAAGTTTAAACAATGCCCAAAGAGGCACATGCTAACCCAATAGAAGAAACAGACACTGGATTTTGTTAATCTACTTCTTTCTGTTGCCTGTACGATAATATGAGTCAGTTGGTCTGTTCAGCTGAGAAAAGTATAAAATCTCATTTGCAAATTTGGAATTATGCTTGCTTCCTTCGCATTCCACTCCAACCCTCCTTCCTCTCTCTAGGGTCCCATTTTAGCCCACAGGAGTAAAAGGGTTTTGTGGCTGCCCATTGATCACTCCATTTTCTGTCTCTAGGCTCTGTGATATTAATGAAGCAAGTCAGGACTAGATGAACTGTGACCTCTGTGGCCTCCTCAACATATTTTTGAGCATTTTACTGATCACCACTGTGCATACCAAGGTAAATAAATAATTTATAAATCCATTCATAAGTGTTTCAAGAGCTTCCTATTAGAGTCTAGAAAGTAAATTTATCATTGAAAATCCAATGGTGAGCAAAACAAGTGAAGTCTTTGTCCCCATGGAGCTTACAGTATAGTAGAAGAGACAGACGTATTAGACAATTCACCACACAAATGACAATTCCCTGTCCCCCAATGAGCTCAAACAAGAAAAGCTAGATTGGTGAGGGGAACTTAAGGCCCTCAAAACCATTTGATCTACCCCTACCAAGCCAACCACAGGCATGTCTCAAAAGTCAGTAAATCTAGAGCAGGCTAATTTTTAAGTTGGTAATTTTGTGTGGCCCACAAATGATGTTATAAATAATCAAATATCCTTGGCAGAAAAAAATATTACCACCCCTGAAAGAGGGGTCTCCCTCAACTTTCTCCCCTCCTTAGAATTATAAATCTCTCTGTACACATCATTCTTCAATAATGGTTAATTTTAATGTGTCAACTTGATTGGAGTAAGGGACACTCAGGTAGCTGGTAAAACATTGTTTTTAAATGCATCTGCATTCTTTCTTGAATAAATTAGCGTCTGAACTGGTAGACTCAGCAATGACAACCCATCTTCACCAATCTGGGTGACCATTCTTCCAGTCTGTTGAGGGCCTGACTAGGGGGGGAAAAAGGCAAAGGAAGGGCAAATTTGCTATGGGTTCTTTAGCTAGAATGCCCTCAGACATCAATGCTCCTGATTCTCCAACCTTTATACTCAGACTGAACCTTACACCATTGCCCTCCTTCACCCTACCCCACCTCTGATTCTCAGGCCTCCAGGCTTTGACTAGATCTACACCACCACCTGTCCTGGAACCCCTGAGCCTCTGAAATCATGCAAATCAATGCCTCATAATAAATATTATATGTCAATCTCAATTTTCCCTTTCTCTTTGAGCATGGGGAATAATGTTACCAGCAATTTTGAGGGGCCGGCGCTGTGGCACAGGTTAAAGCCTTGGCTTGAAGCACCAGCATCCCATATGGGCGCCAGTTCTAGTCCCGGCTGCTCTTCTTCTGATCCAGCTCTCTGGTATGGCCTGGAAAGGCAGCAGAAGATGCCCAAGTCCTTGGGCCCCTGCACCCACATGGGAGACCCGGAAGAAGCTCCTGGCTCCTGGTTTCGGATCAGTGCAGCTCTGGCCATTGTGGCCATCTGGGGAGTGAACCAGCGGATGGAAGACCTCTCTCTCTCTCTCTCTGCCTCTCCTCTCTGTGTAACTCTGACTTTCAAATAAATAAAATAAATCTTTAATAAAAAAAAAAAAATTTTGACCGTGGATTCTTCAAATACTGTCCCTCATTCACCATTGCCTCACCAGAGTGAGTCACATGACTTTTAAGTACTCCATGCTTTTCCAGTTGTACTTTGGGACTTTATTTACATATCTGTCTCCCTATTCTAGCCTCCATAAGATTAAGCACTTTTTTTTTTTAAGAATTATTTATTTATTTGAAGTCAGAGTTACACACAGAGAGAAGGAGAGGCAAAGAGCGAGAGAGACAGGTATTCCATCCGCTGGTTCACTCCCCAGTCGGCCAAAACAGCCGAAGCTGCACCGATCCAAAGCCAGGAGCCAGGAGCTTCTTCCAGGTCTCCTATGCAGGTACAGGGGCCCAAGCACGTGGGCCGTCTTCTACTGCTTTCCCAGGCCACAGCAGAGAGCTGTATTGGAAGAGGAGCAGCTGGGACTCAAACTGATACCCATATGGGATGCCGGTACTGCAGGTGCCAGCTTTACCTGCTACGCCACAGCACCGGCCCCAAGTGCTATTTTCTTCACCTTTATTCCCTCAAAAGACTGAAGATCTGACATTTAGTAAAGTTTTAATGTATAGCAAATGCTCAATAAAATTTATTGAATGACTAAGTTACTGAATTAGTTATTTAGTAAAATGTCCAGGATACTTTCTGTATAGTCTAGAATTGTTGCATTAATGCCAATAATTCTACCCTTCCATAGCAAAAGAAAAACTACACTGTTATATGGCCAGTTTGTACTATTTGCTTTATGCAGTTTCTGTTGTTGTCTTACTACTTTTGTGATAAGTTTTGTCTTACTACTTTTGTAATGGGTCTTTTACCAATTGCAGCAGCAACCAAAGGGCCACTTTCCTCATTACAGTCATTGTTTCCTGGTCCCCAAAAGGATCTTACTGAGTCGTTTTTCTCTTGATTCATGAATGCCCAACCAAGCCAACAAGCCCAGCATCATCTACAAGCTGTCTATCTTTGGGGTAGAACTTCTCTGGGTCAACTCGACCAGCAACTTCTGTCTTCTTCATGGTAACCCTCAGTCTGTGCAATTGCATAAGCTCTGCAAAGTGGCTGACAGCTTCTAATCCCATGCCTTAACAAATATTTTTTGAGGGAATCAGTGCATGAATCATTTGATTGACTTGTGAGTAAACTTCAAAAACAGTCATAGCAAACAAGAGTTCTTATTTAAAAGGTATGTGCCACAGCTAAAACACCTTTTAAAGTAACCAAATTACCAGTTTTTATCAATGTTGACATTCTGTTCTCAAATTAATCATGTGCTTATGTAACTGACCTTATTAAGGGTCATTGCTACCTTCTTAAGTTATCTTTGGAAACCAAAATCAAACCCAAATACAGTTTATGATCTTACAAGTTTCAAAAACTGCCATTTTCATGGGGCCTGAATTTTCTATTGCATTCAGAAATCCAACTCAGATTCTTGTTGGAAAAAGGAGGGACATGAATCAAGTTAATAAATGAATAATAAATCAAACAGCAAAGAATTAACTTTGGCATGAAAATAAGAGGCTAAGAGTCAACTGAAGTTAATCCTTTGCTAATTTTCTTATACAGGATGGACATTAGCTGATTGGTGGGAAATTTGTTTTTGACAGTTATATGGAAGATGGTTCCATAACGAACCAAAGCACTACAGTGTAATGTCATGGCAATATCCCTTGTGACAATAAAGATTATTCCCATGGCAGAAATCATAGGATTTCACAGAACAGTGGAGACATCAAATAGAATGCTCTATTAGAAGTTAGAATCCATGAAAACAGTCATGGGACTGTGCACCAGACAGGCAGTCAGAGCACTTCTTGACACAGGTCCCCAGAGCAATGCTTGTCAGAGGATCAATGAGATAGAGATGGAAACATGGCTGTTAGGGGTGGTGACTCCTGCTGGTATAGGCAACCTCATCCTTATGAGGACGTGAGCAGGAGCAGTTTCAACAATTCAACCATTAGAAAAGGGGCTAATTTGGCTCAAAATGTAAACCAACCGATGAAACAAAGAAATAGAACTGCCAGCAAAAACATTGCCTGTCACAACAAACCTAAGGCCAACCTTGGCTCACTGCATCATAAACTCCTGGAGGGCAGCAACAGCCAGATAATTATATTGTTCATAAATAATTTTAATATTTGGGTTGACTCTGAAAGGCATGCTCATAAAATCACTGAGTGATGATGAGCTTTAGTACTTCATTTAATCCAAATTCTTTATCTAATTGAAGAAGAAACCAAGTTTTAAAGAGGGGAAGGGACTTGCCTAACCTCATGTAGCCCTCTGGGAAAGTTAGGACTGGACCCATGGACCCCTGACTCCTACGCAAGGCTCTTCTCACTTTAACACTATACCATTGCTATGATCTGAATGTTAAATACCCCCCAAAGGTACCTATAATAAAAGCTTGGTCCCCAGGGTGGTGTTATTGAAAGGGAGGGGGAACCTTAAGGAGGTGGGGCGTGGGGAGAGGCCCTTAGGTCTTGGAAGGTAATTCTCACAGGAATGTTGTTATAAAAGCCTGAGTTTGGACCCACCCACTCTTTTCCTTGCTCATCAAGTGATCTTTGATTTTTCCTCTACACGTTTTCTATCATCCACCATGGACTTCTCACCCAAGCCCAAGCCTGCACCATGCCATTTGGACTTTGAGTATCCAGAAATGTCAGATACATAAATATTTTCTATCTGTAAGTTTGCCAGTTCAGGTGTTTCATGATAGAATCAAAGCACTGACACAGGGCCAGTGCTGTGGCATAGCAGGTAAATGCCACTGCCTGCAGTGCTGGCATTACATATGGGTGCCAGTTCAAAACCCAGCTGTTCCACTTTTAATCCAGCTCCATGCTCTAATGCACCTGGGAAAGCAGCAGAGGATGATCCAAGTCCTTGGGCCCCTACTGGGAGACGCAGATGGAGCTCCAGGCTCCTGGCATCGGATTCACCCAGCTCCGGCCATTGCGACCATTTAGGGAGTGAACCAGCAAATGCAAGACACCCATCTCTCTCTCTCTCTCTCTCTCTCTCTCTCTCTCTCTCTCTCTGCCTCTGCCTATCTGTAACTCTGCCTTTCAAATAAATAAATAAATCTTAAAAAAAAAAAAAAAGAAAAACACTGACAGGGCTGGTGCCACAGCTCACTAGGCTAATCCTCCGCCTGCAGCACCGGCACCCCGGGTTCTAGTCCCAGTTGGGGTACCAGTTCTGTCGCGGTTGCCCCTCTTCCAGTCCAGCTCTCTGCTGTGGCCCGGGAAGGCAGTGCAGGATGGCCCAAGTGCTTGGGCCCTGCACCCACATGGGACACCAGGAGGAAGCACCTGGCTCCTGGCTTCGGATCAGCGCAGCATGCTGGCCGTGGCGGCCATTTGGGGGGTGAACCAATGGAAGGAAGACCTTTCTCTCTCTCTCTCTCTCTCTCTCTCTCTCACTGTCTAACTCTGCCTGTCAAAAATAAATAAATAAAAACACTGACACACACAACTCTAAGGTCTCTACCACATTGCTCTGCCTAAAGTTAGTTTTCAGTAGCACTTGATGAATAAATAATATGCATCATAATTATGTATTGTCATGGACGCATTCTGGTGATGCAGAGCCTATAATTTTGGGGAAAGGCCTTCTTAAAAAAGATTACAAAGTGAGAAATATAAAATTAAACATCAAAGCCTATATTTATTTAGA